GGAACGTGTCGACAACGTCGCCGCGCGCGTCGCGCACCGTCACGCGTCGGAACACACGCCCTCGAGGCTGTAGATGGGGGCGCGGCGCGGATCGTCGCGGCGGAAGACGACAGCCGTGAAGCCGTTTTTGCGCCCGCCCCAGCAGAGGCCGGCGCCCGAGAAGCGAATCTCCGACACGTAGGCGCCCGACGACGGGATGGTGTAGACGCCCGTGATCTCCGGGTAGAGGCGGCCGCCGAGGAAGCCGCGCACCTGCACGGCCGGCAGCGGGATGAGGTAGTCCTCGGCGTAGCGGTCAATGTGCAGCACGGCGTGGCCGACCTGGCGGATGTCGACGGTGCCGGAGAAGGACATTTCGACGCGCGCGTAGCCGTCGGCGCGGATGCCGTTGGCCGTGTCCGAGACGTGCATGGCTGTGATGGGCGGGTGGTGCGAGACCTGCTCCGAGACGAGCGTCGTCGTCGCCTTGGCCGGCGCGTCGACGAAGGACGCGAGGAAGAGCTCGCCGAGAAAGGCGTTGAGGGGCTTCTTGATGGACACGGTCGGGGATCCGGCGATGTAGAGCTGCGACCGCAGCGACGACAGCATGTGCGTCAGCACGAGAAGGGCGCGCCGCGCTGGGTCAGGCTCCAGGGCTGGCGCTGCAAAGATGGCTGGATGCTCGGCCCAGCAGCGGCCGACTTCAACAACAGACGTCGGCGCGAGGAACATGGGAGGCGCTGTAATGTTGGAGAGGTCACCCTGCGTGGAAGCGAGGAACTGAGGAGACACGGTCAGCGTGTGGACGGAGGGAACCCGGAAGGGGGGAGGGGAGGGCCGGGGGAGAGTGGGGCCGTCTCCGGGTGAATTGTCCGGCCCTGGGTTAGGGTTGTGATCCCGGGTTAGGGTTGGGCAGGACGAAATTCACTCCCATGAGAGAGAGAGATAGAGAGAGGGAGAGAGGGAGAGAGACCCCACTGAGACTGCTGTGGGGGCCGTGCGCCAGACTCACCTGGACCAGGTCCTTGATGCGCGAGGACTTGTGCTTGGAATCCATGACGTCGATGATGACCGTATGCCACGGGCAGACAAAAACAATGATGAGCAGAAAAATCGACACCAGACGAGAGCTACCAGATATTTCCCACCAGCCAAGCTTTTGCAGGAGAAGAGAGGAAAAGAACAGGCACTCGTGCAACGCAACAGCCACGAGCAGACCCCCGACCCTTTGTACCCGTTTCAGCAGAACCCCAGCGCCTGTCACAGCCCCAGTCCCACACTGGAGCGATGCGAAACGGCGCAGACCCGTTTTGTTCGTCTCAGCTCGGAGGAGACGCGGTGGTGGTACCAGCTCTCGAACCGTGTCTGCCATGACGATGCCAACCCTTGCCTGTCCCAACTGATGGCGGGCGGCCCCTTCGTAGCGGCAGCACATCGGATGCTCCTCATTCCGTGCTGCTGTCATCCAACGCAGGGGCGCAGACCTCCACGCGGCCCTTCACTCGTAGAGACTCGGAGGGCGAGAGGGAGAGCATGTGACGCCTTGATCCCCCCTCCCCCGGCGGCACGTTGTTCGCCCGTGCCGCCCCATAGTCGGCGTCGGGCGAACCACCAGCGTCGCATTGCCGCTGTCACTGCCGCTGCCGGGTTTCCCCTCAGAACTAGGTAGGAAACGTTTCGAGAAATCTAGTTCCACTGTGGCAGTTAGCTTGCGTTTTGACGACCCAGCAGCACCAACTTCCCTTTGCGTGTCCAACGCCATCATTCGCCTCGATCGAATTTGACTTTTGTTTGACAGAATGCAACGCAACGCTATACGCCGCTGACCAATATGTCGAGCACTCTGACGACCGAGGAGGCTTACGACAGCAAACCGCTGACTACGTTCCCTTTGCACTGGTCAGCTCTACATTTTCAAACCATTCCGTCCCGATCTCGACGCTTGTCGTCGTGCCGCTAGCCGCCTGAAAGTTCACGAGCTTTGGGAGCGCGCCGTCGTCTGGGCAGCGCGGAAAGTTTATGCGTGCGCAGTGAAACGTCGCTGGGCTCAGGACCGTCGTGTTCCTACGCTGCGATGCGGCATATTGGCGCGTCCATGGTCAGGACGACCCTAAACTTTCCGCGTCGCGGCCGTCGAGGACACTCCCTGATGGGCCCTGATGTGCACGCGCGCATTGCATTCTGCCTGTTGGCCAGACAAGCGACTATATGCGTCTTGATGAATCTTCGGGGAATTACGCCTTCTTCCAAATATGAACTCCTCATGATATGATGAGCCCTCTCGTTCAGTCGAGTGAAACGAATTGCACCTTATGGCATCAGTAGAACACTCGCGTGAAGCGGGCTCAACATGCCGAGTATACAGGCGGACCGTGCTGGCATCTGAGTACCTGTAGGATCCATATCAGGTGTCTTCCTAGGTACATGTATACTTGGAAACCCTTCCAGCAAATTGTTGCGAACTGATGAATTGCTTCTCGCCCTGTGCCAACCTTTTCCCTTGCTCGGGCCTTCAGTTGGGACAGAGACTGCTGTTCCTTCCTCGTCGAACATGGCGTCCCTATCGCTGAGTGCTTGTTTGTTGACCACTCGGCCTACCAACAAACGGAAGGCGAAATCGAACCTCTCAACATCATGATGGATTGCCTTCCAACGCCCCGCCACCATATCCAGGCTTACTCTCGGCCACCCTCTCCTTTCCCGCCGACACTATCGTCGTCGGTGCCGCGATCGCTCAGACGACCAAGAGCCGACGTAGAGGTGTCTTCCTTCTTCTTCTTGAACGATCTGCAAACGCGGACTAGCACCATGGTGTAGCCGAGATATCTGCATGCGAAGTAGAGCAGTCTGGTGCATCGATATGCGCTGGACTTTTCCCAGGAGGCAAAGCAACAGGAATGGGGTTCACACCTTGGAGGTTCTGCGTATGATGAAGCCGCTACCCTGCAGACAAGCCTGCTGGTGAAAGATGACCCGTCCAGAACACTCCCAAAGTCGGATTCATATGCCACGCACTCACTGTGCATCACGGCAACCCCTATCGCAGCTGCAGAAGTCAAAGCACGCGCTGGCTCAGAGCCTGATGAATTCCTCAGATACAGGAAACAGAAGCATACACAAAAAGACGCCGCACTCGTATATCGTCGCCGTCAAGAACATCCCGTGATTCTAAGCAGCCCTCCCATCCGTCCGCTCCGCCACTCGCCCTCCTGCCTCGCCTCGATTTCTGCCCTCGCCCCCTCATCAAGCCAGCTTCGCCAAGCAAAGAAGTCCCCCGTCGTCTTGGGCGCCATCATCATTGCCAGTTCCCCCGGCGGAGCATCAACCAGACCAAACGCGACGAGTCGCTGCCGGTCCCAGAGCCCGAACCCCAACGCGCGGAACGGCCTGAACGACACGGTCCGGATCGGGGAGCGCACATTCTGGGACAGCAACTGCGCCCACTTGTAACCGTACGCCTCGAAGCCGAAGCGCGCGCGAAAGTCGCCCCGTGGAGGGTGCGGCACATCGACTGGCCACACATCTTTCGTCCCGCCACGGGCATTCACCTCTCCGGCCGTTGACGCCAAAGGCTTGGGCAGCTGCAGCGGATACTCGCCGAGCGGACCGGTGCTCGGCGCCGAGAAGGGGTGCCCGATGCAGCTGTCCGCGAGGGGCTTGCCCTCAAGGTGATGGACGTAGTAAAGCGCTGTGAGCACCTCCTCTGAGTAGACCGTCGGGTGGCCGAACCAGGCATTGACATCCATGGCCCATATCTGCTCCACATCGTGCGCTGTCCATCCCAAGCGACCCTCCTTCGCCGCATTTCGGACCTCATAGATTACTTGGAGGTTCCAGAGACCACGCGTCATGTGCTGCATTTCATACCAGGATGGTGGACCACCTGATTCTGGCCGGTACGGGCGGCCTTCGAATCGCTGTGACCAAGGAAACCCGCGTGGCGGTTGCAAGTACTCCGAGCTCGCGTCGGCGAGGTGCTCTGCATTGATGGACATGCACCGGTCATGGAAGAATTGGAAGCCGCCGGTGGCAATGCTGGCAATACGTCGTGCGAGAAAGAGCAGTTGCCTCGCTGACAGGCCGTCGGGGGACTCTCGTAGAGTCGCCCGTAGCGACAACCCCGTCAAGGGCCCTGGCTCCATGGTACCAAAGTCCTTCTCCTTCCTGCGCAGGTATGAATCGAGAAAGGAGGCAAAGTTGGGCGCAGGTGGATTGGATGGCGTCGACTGGCGGATGCGAGCCACGAGACGCACAATGTGTGGAATGCGTGGCGCCGTGAGAAGCTCAGGGGTGACAGAATTGGGGAGCACATATTCAAGGATTTCAGGGCCCAATTCGTCAAAAATGCGGGAAGCACTGGGGGCGCCACGATCAGGTTGTAGATGACCGCATGTCGCAGAGCCTGAAAAGGATCTCGAGCGTCACCTC